AGACAAAGAGTGGTTAGCGTACGCGCGACACAACAAATAACCGATCACAACAGTCACAACACACAGGACAAACAGGCCGGCCACCTCACTCTCACGCATTAGTTTCACATCAAACGAGTCACCTTAGGGGGTGCCTCCAGATTGGCCCGGACGGACCACAGATTGGGAATGAAATTCCCCAGATTGGCCCAGACGGACCACAGATTGGGAATGAAATTCCCCAAACGAGTCACCTCGGAGGGTGTCTCCGAATTGGCCCTGACGGACCACAGATTGGGCCCCAAACCGATAGGAAAATCCTATCGCAGACGGTGAGTCACGGAAAACCGTGTGGGGCGTCCCCCGATCACCCAAGAACAGAGAACAGATAACAAAAACAGGTAACAAAAATTGCCCCTAGACCGGAGCCGTTTGGCTCGGGGCGTAAAATACCGGTAGATTGATCCTCAGAGTAAAAATAAGAAGCGACCGGTCGTACTCACCCACCGCAGAGCCGTTGAGGTCACCTTCCGTGAGACGTGCTATCTCGGTGGGGCCTCCAAGATGTTAGGGCCGACGCCGCAGGGAAAGAGACCCCAAGGACTCAACTCTTGGTGAGGAAAAAAAGTTTATTTCCATGCGCATGGGGTCCCTCAGGCAAACAAGTGCAGAGGGGCCCCGAGGGGAATTTGTGCAGGGTTTTTAAAGATACACGCAGGAGGCAAGCAAGTTTACAGAAGCAAATCGCATTGGTTAATTCTGAGCGGCGCAGGACCTGGCTAATGCTGATTTGAGGGTCTGGGGCTGAGTAACCATGGAGACCGAGGGTCTTGGGTTGACCTTAGAGTGCCAGGTGCTCCCTGGTCCTGTTTATACAGTACATTCTTTTTGGCCCTGCTCTGACTATCTCCTGGGAAAGGTTTAGGGAGTGAAGCACTCTTTACTGCTCTGTTCTGAGAGCTCCGGGGAGTTAGGGAGTCAACCCTTTCATTCCCTGCTCTGGGGAGTTAGGGAGTTAACCCTTTCATTCCCCGCTCTGGGGAGTTAGGGAGTTAACCCTTTCATTCCCCGCTCTGGGGAGTTAGGGAGTTAACCCTTTCATTCTCCGCTCTGGGGAGGGGGTTGTAGCAGGGGGGTCGACTCTCACAGTCAGAATTCCTGATTTCTTCTTCCTTCCTAATGTCCATGGTCCTAACGTATCCAGGTATAACGTAACAGATGTATCCATTACTTGTGAGCAAGGCAATAATTGTAGAAACCAGATGTTTCAGTCCAGAAGTGCACATGCCAATGCTGAGCACACTAGTGAAAGCCTACAATGCCTCTCTTATGGACAGCACTGGCACTCCTTATCCCACAACAAGGGCAAAGTATTCTCTAGTGCCTGATAAAAGGTCCAGCCATGGACATTTCACCATGTGAAATAATTTTGGACATGCTATGGCACAGGAAGGTGGGTATGGAAGCAGTTTGTTCCATCTCTGCTCATTACCGTTTAGGCCGCATATACTGACCATTCCTGGAACTCTTCAGTGGCCTTTCCTTTAGTTCTCTATGAGCACCCACCCACATGTTGCATGTGATAGAGTATTCTGAGGGCAGTAATGTTCCTCAAAATGACGTGCCTTTCTATGGGTCCTTTGTTCTCTCTACTGTGACAAAATGAAGAAATGATGCAAAACCACTGCCTTTATCTAAAAACCAGTGTATCTGTAGAAAATCAGAAAATTAGGATTAAAATAATGAGAGTCAAAATTTATTTATTGTATGACAAATGCAAGAAGAATGCTGTCTTTCCAAGATAGAGGTTCTTTGGCTGATTACCAAATTGGTTTGGGATAAAATCATTCAGGTAATGTAGTTTATAAAACTAAGTCTTGCTGATTGGTGTGCTCTAGGCAATCAGTCTCTTACCCTTTGTTTCTGCAGAGCAAAAAAGATTAGTTGGGTCTCAAACACACAGTAAATGCATGTGATATTTTCACAAGGGACAGACAGTGCAAGCAAATGATGCATAATAAACACAGGATATACATGTAAAGTCCCATTCCTCACCATGAAGTGAGTTAAAGCATTGATAGAAGACTCATGACATGTGCGTGCAGATTCACTTTAGGTAAAACTGCTGTGTTGTGTGCCCTGATTTTTTTCCAGAAGCCGACCAGATATTGTATTTTGTACCTAAAATATCTTCTAAATATCACATGAGCTTGAATGTTGATTAATTTGAATGGGTCCTATTGTCCTCAATGGTTTCATTCTCTGATGATTTTAGTTCTGGATTATGATGTTAGGTGGTGGGGACATTTTGGACACATATCACTAAGGATAGAACTTGGGAAAGTACGATCTTGTTTGCAGATCCTACCATCTTTCTCTATGTCCATGCTACCATGACTTAAGTAATTTTTCCTTCAGAATGGAAATTTTTTTGCTATCCTGCTTGATCCTTGGATCCAATAGACAAGGTTCTTTACTTGTAGCCCAGTATAGATTCCTCTGAGAGTATGTGATATTTTGTCTCAGTAAAAGGATAGGAACAATGGCACTTTATTTTAGTATGCTTAATTTGTTAAAAATGTAGATATAGGGTCCTCATGAAACCCTTGAAATATGTTCTGTCTCCCACCCAGCATGTAGCACAAAGATGAAACAGTGATAGAAAGATCTGCAGTTCCCAGGGCTCTGTTATGACCAGTGGCCCCCACTGGAAAAAGATCATGAGTCAGAGTGCCCAAGACTTATATCAGTAATAATTGGGGGAGTAGGCATGGGTTTTGGAAGAGTGCATAAATGAGAAACCTTATAGACATGGCTTGTAGTAGAGGAACAAGGAAGTCTTGTACCAAGCATACAGCTCCCCAGTTAGTGCTGCAACAGATAAATGATGTTGGAAAAGCTGGGACTTTTACCATCACAAAAGTATAAATCTTTTGGAGTATCATATCATCAGCTGAGATGTTATGTCATGTCTTCACCCTTGAATCTCACAGGATTTTGCACGACTCTCCATTGCAGTCATCAGCATGTTGTCTATTCCACATGTGTGCTGCTACTTTGCTGTCCTGAGACACATTGGCAAGTCCATTGGACTTGATCACAGTCTTTGTACCAATTAAGGGAATATCACTTCTATATCACCCATTTTGCATATCTCACTAAATAATGTTGAAGTAAGAGTCTTGTGATGATAGAGCACAGAGATTCAATTCTTGGAGTGCATGCTTGTGATCTCCCACAGCTTCCCAAACACTAAGTTGTACCACGCAATCTGTACCTTCTGGTGATGATAATCAATGCCACAATATCCAAGCTCTTGTACAGAATTTGAAAGTTACTCTAGGGGATTTTGTTGCATAAAAATTAGAAGAAAAATTAGAAGCCTGTGATGAGGCTCACTAGGGACATATTCACATTTGCTTCACCTGTTATCTCCAGAGCAAGGCAATAAATAATAAGGTTATTGGGGTTTATTGTGACAAATAATGGAAACAAATTTATCAATGAAAATAAGAAGGATGAAAAGAATATGTAAAGGACAACTTTCATAAAGTACTGAATGTTAAACACAAACTGAGTCTCCTTGAAGTAGGGCATCTACATATGCTTTGTGTATGCATGGAAAGATAGTAAAGCATCTTGTCTCACATAACTGCCACAGTTTATGGGTAGTTTGCAGGCAATGTTTTAAAAAATGAAATGATGGCTAGCTGTGTTATCACATCACTGTAATCCTAACACTCAGGAGGCTGATGCAGGAGGATTCTTAGGTGTTCAGTTTCACCATGGGCTACATAGTAACTTCAAGGCCATTCTTACCTAAAGGGAAGATGTCTCAAAAACAAAAAGCTGACATACTGAATGAGGTAGGAGAATGAGTACAAGCTGTATTACAGCAGTGAAAAGTGCCAAGTGTAAGTCTGCAGACATTTCAGTAATCAGGTGTAAAATAGAATTTTGTTTAAGGAGGAGCACAAGGGAGTGCATACAATATGGGAAAGCAGTGGATGTTGGTGGGTGGCAAAATCAGCTCCTGAACAAGAAATTTCCCTCTGATAACTGCCTAGTATGAAACTGAACTATGAGCTCTATTCTGGCTAAATTTGATGATGATTGAGAAATACAGGCTGAAATGAAAATAGAAATTTAAGTCATTGTAGAAAAATACTTTTCCTACCATTATATTCCCTAATGATTTTTAAGGGGAACTCTAAATTTTATTTGTTTTTAGCTTAAAATTGATTGGGCATTATCTCTCTGTAACAGAGATTGTTTTTCACATGAATAGGAAAAATTAAAAGATACATTTTTTGGTGGGAATTCACCTGAGGACCTTCTTCTGGGGAAAAATCTCACCTTTTACATTTCCAGTTGTCCTTATTTGGAATTTTGACACTTATTCTCAGTATATAGATCTTATTTAGCTCAAAGGTCTTGTACTTCTGTCACAGTCTCCCAGAATGATGTAATCACAGCTGTGAATCTCAGTGTACCATGATAATAGTCCTCAATTAAATGCAGCATAATATATATATATATATATATATATATTTTTTTTTTTTGTCAAAAATGTTACACATTTTACTATTGGCAATGTGCAGGGTCCATTTTGAAACCTGTATTGGTGGTTTCTTCCTATAGATAAATATCTGAATTTGAGATTAGTTGTGTTTTATTTAAATTTTATTGGAGTGATGAATGTAAGACTATGATAATTTTTCATGCTGTACATATGTCCACACCTTTTTGTCAGAAATCAACATGAAACATCTTTTTTTAAATTGTGTTTTCCTTTTTTCAATCAAGTCTCACTAGATAGATCATGGGACCTCAAACTCACTGTATAGCACACAGTGGTCTGGAACTCATAATGATCCTCTTGCCACCAACTGCTGAGTGGTGGGATTACAGACTTGTACCACCACACTTCACTCTCAGATACACTTTTTTATTAGAGGAGTTCATAGAGTTCAGGCTATTAGTTTCATTTTGCTTCAAGATATATGTGTATGATCCTTTAGGAGTCAGTGACCTTTGAGGATGTGGCTGTGAACTTCACCTCTGAGGAATGGACTTTGCTAAGTCCATCCCAAAAGAAGCTCTACAGAGATGTGATGGGGGAAACCTTTAGGCACATGGTGACTACAGGTAAGGATGACATCTCTTTCTTATTTATACACTCTGAGGATATTGATTGTTTCTTTCCAGTGCAGTTTCATTAAACAGACTATGACATCAATCTCTGTCCTGCTTATATTATATCATGAATCTAATTGACACCTGTTAATGTTTTATGTACTAATGGAATGACTCTTTATACTTTTTTGTCTATAATTCAGGAAGACTCTTGGTTAACCAGAAAGTGGAAGAAGAATATAATAACTATTGCAGAAATCTAAGGTAATTTGCACTTTCAAGAAAAAGATATACTCCTAAAGATACCACATAAGGGGAAACATGAAAATCAAAAACTGACACCATCTTCAAATTTATTTAATTTCACAAATACTCTCTAAAACTATATGCAGCTTGTGTATGTGTACTCTGAAAACTAAACACAAAGTTATTCAAACATTGGAAACTGAATTAGCCCAGATATCACTCGAATGACACTTGCTGATATATAATATAAAAAAATGTTCTTTTATCATCAACATCAGGAATATGGATAACATTGCATTTAGGTATTGTGTATAGATGTATATGAGAGGTGATAGATAAAGAAAAGTGATATGTTAGAGATGGGGCAATAAAACAGTATAATATCTACTGATTTGAAACTCTCAAATGTATAATACTCTTTAGGGAAAAGCTGTCTCTAACGAATCCTCCTATTCATTGATTTAATTAATCATCAAATTTCTTAGCAGGCATCACAAAAGAATGTGTTCTGTGGGCTTATTAATATGGGGAGTCATTTTATTTTGATTTGTTTTTCTTTTATAGAAATGGATGTGTTGAGAAATGCCATCGATATAAAAGTTGCAATCAGCATAGAGAAAGCTTCCTATGGACTGAAGATGCTAATGTCCATATGAAAATATCTGGTTTAAAACCAACTGAAAGTCTTGCTAGTAGAAGACCCCTGATTGGGCATTTTTCACTAAATGTGCCCATCAGCACTCACACTGCACTGAAGCCAGATAAGTACTTGGAACCTAAAGAGAAGCTCTTAAAATGTAATGAAAATTTTGGAAACTTTGATAATTTCCAATTCATTGATAATCATGAAAGTACAGAGGCTGGCAAGAAGCCTTGTGAATATGATCAGTGTGAGAAATCCTGCTCTGGTCTTACTGAAAGAACTCATCTTAGAGACAAGACCTTTGTATGTCAGAAAAATTTGAATGCCTCTAGCAAACACAGTGATTTTCAGATCTACCAGACAAATCAAAATCGGGGTATACCCTCTGAACACAAGCAATGTGGGAATGCTTTCAGCACACATAGTATTTTTCAAAGACAAGAAAGTATTCAGATGAAGGAGAAAGAATATGTATGTCAGCAATGTGGTAAAGGTTTTAGCAGAAAGAGTGATTGTCAAATACATAAAAGAATTCACACTGGTGAGAAACTTTATGTATGTAAGCTATGTGGGAAAGCTTTTACAACACAGAAGTATTGTAAAAGACATGAAAGAAATCACACTGCAGAGAAACCTTATGTATGTAAGCAGTGTGGCAAAGCTTTCAGGAATCGTTCTGATTGTACAAATCATGAAAATCTTCACACTGGAGAGAAACCCTATGTATGTAAGCAATGTGGGAAAGGTTTCAGCAAAAACAGTCACTATCAAAGACATGAAAGAATTCACACTGATGAGAAACCATATGTATGTATGCAATGTGGGAAAGCTTTCAGGACAAGTTATGGTATTCATGAACATCAGTATCTTCACACTGGAGAAAAACCATATGTATGTAAGCAATGTGGGAAAGGTTTCAGCTCACGGAATAATTGTAAAATACATGAAAGGATTCACACTGGGGAGAAAGCCTATCTGTGTACGCAATGTGGGAAAGGTTTCAGCTCAAAGAGTTATTGTAAAAAACATGAAAGGATCCACAGTGGAGAGAAACCGTATGTATGTCAGCAATGTGGGAAAAGTTTCAACTCTCAGAGTCATTGTAAAATACATGAAAGTATTCACAATGGAGAGAAACCCTATGTATGTAAGCAATGTGGGAAAGGTTTCAGATCAAAGAGTTATTGTACAATACATGAAAGGATTCACAGTGGAGAGAAACCTTATGTATGTAAGCAATGTGGAAAAGCTTTCAGCATAAAGAGTCACTATCAAAGACATGAAAGAATTCACACTGGTGAGAAACCATATGTATGTAAGCAATGTGGGAAAGGTTTCAGTTCTCAGAGTCTTTGTAAAATACATGAAAGGATTCATACTGGAGAGAAACCCTATCTATGTAAGCAGTGTGGGAAAGGTTTCAGATCAAAGAGTTGTTGTAAAATTCATGAAAAGATTCATACTGGAGAGAAACCCTATGTATGTAAGCAATGTGGGAAAGGTTTCAGCAGAAGTAGTCACTATCAAAGTCATAAAAGAATTCATACTAGTGAGAAACCATATTTATGTATGCATTGTGGTAAAGCTTTCAGGACAAGTTATGGTATTCATGAACATCAGCATCTCCACACTGGGAACAAACCATATTTATGTAATCAATGTGGGAAAGGTTTCACCCGAAAAAGTGATTTTCAAATACATGAAAGAATTCACACTGGTGAGAAACCTTATGCATGTAAGCAATGTGGGAAAGCTTTTAGCACGCAGAGTTGTTGTAAAATTCATGAAAGGATTCACAATGGAGAGAAACCTTATATATGTAAGCAATGTGGGAAAGGTTTCAGCTCAAAGAGTTACTGTAAAATACATGAAAAGATACACAGTGCAGAGAAACCCTATATATGTAAGCAATGTGGGAAAGGTTTCAGCAGGAACAGTCACTATCAAAGACATGAAAGAATTCACACAGGTGAGAAACCATATGTATGTGAGCAATGTGGGAAAGGTTTCAGATCAAAGAATTGTTGTAAAATACATGAAAGAATCCACACTGGAGAAAAACCCTATGTCTGTAAGGAATGTGGGAAAGGTTTCAGCTCCAAGGGTTATTGTAGAATACATGAAAGGACTCACACTGGAGAGAAACCCTATGTAAGCAATGTGGGAAAGTTTTCAGCATAAACAGTCACTATCAAAGACATGAAAGAATTCAAACTAATGAGAAACCATATGTATCTAAGCAATGTGAGAAAGGTTTCAGCTCACAGAGTCATTGTAAAATACTTGAAGGTATTCACCCTGATGAGAAAGCATGTGTGTATGCAATGTGGGAAACTTTTCAGGACAAGTGATGGTATTCAAAAACATAAGTATCTTCACACTGGGGAAATACCATGTGTATGTAAGCCATGTGGAAGAGATTTCACCAGAAACTGTGATTGTCAAATACATGAAAGAATTCATACTGATGAGAAACCATATGTATGTAAGCAATGTGGAAGAAGTTTCAGCAGAAACAGTAACTATCAAGGACATCAAAGAATTCACACAGGTGAAAAACCATATGTAAGTATGCCATGAGGGAAATCTTTCAGGAGAAGTAATGATATTCGTGAACATAAACATCTTCACACTGGGGAAAAAGCATATGTATGTAAGCAATGTGGAAAAGGTTTCACCAGAAAGTCTTTATCAGATAAATAGAACTCACACTGGTTAGAAACCTTATATATGTAAGCAGTGTGGTAAAACTGAGTGCACACAGTACTTGTTGAAGACCAGAAAGAATTCACTTGGAGGAGAAATCCACACTATGCATATACTCTTTCATCAGAAACAGTAATTGTCATGTATATCAAAGAACTCACACAGGAGACAAACACTATGTATGTAAACAATGTGAGAAAGGTTTCAGCAGATCCAGCAGGTATAAAACACAGGAAAGCATTCACACGGGCAAGAAACCTTATACATGTAAGCCGTGTGGCCAAGTTTTAGATGAGATCATCAGTGTCAAAGACATGGGAAAAAAGTTCCAGTAAAGATGGCTTATAGATAATAGCAGCCTACAGAGGCTCCCTGAGATAGTCAACTTAGATTCCAAAATAATATAGCACGAGGAGTCCGGAACAGAGGGAGATGGATCATCTCAACCCAGGAATAAATTAAGGTGACAGGAACCAATCAAACATACAATCCTGGTTCTACTATTGGAACAGTTGAAGATTGTGCCCTTCTGCTGCAGTGGCCAAACTCACATGGCCATGACTTACTGAGCTGTCCAAATTCCCACTGCTTCAACTCAGGAAATGCAGTCACCCTGAGGTCAGGGTTCAGAGAGCTGAGCTGGTGGGGAACCTGCATCTACCTGTGTTGATTGCCAAGAATAAAACCAAACCACAAAAAAAGGGGCTCAAATGAATGACATTCTGGGGCCGGGCAGACTGGCAAGAACAAGGAGCAGTGGTGACTTAATTCAGCTGCTCAATGCCCAGACAAGGTTGGTGGCATGTGCTTGACTTGGGTCATACCTCTAGCTGAGATCAAATAAGCTATGCAAAACAAATTGCACACACTAACACAGTGAAGGCCTCAGCAGGTTGACTGAGCCGGAGGGGAGGTGATACACACTAATGCACTGAAGGTCTCAGCAGGTTGACTGACCTGGAGGAGAGGGACCAGCATAGGTGCTTTAGAAGAACTGTAACCATCAAAGAAAGAAACTGAAGCCTGTACATACTTGTATAGAAGAAATGAAAAATAGAAGAGGAAGTAACAAGAAAAATTCCCCAGCCCCCAATCTTGAGAACATTGATCTAGGAAAGTTAAATACAAAGGAGATTGAGGACAGGAGACATGCAATATGAGACACAGCACCAGCGGGCATAAAGAGACATCTTTGGGACCTCATAGATGAACTCAAAAGTGAAATATTTAACCAAGTAAAGCAAGATATAAATTAATAAAAGAAATGCTAAGCACCTCAAGAACACACAGATGGAAACATGGAGGAACATTTAAAAAGGGGAGAACTTTTGATGAAAAATACAAAGAAAACACAATACATGAAGCAGGTTCAAAGAGATTACCAGGAAATTGAAAACTCCATTGAAAGCTGGCAAAATTGCTTGAAAGAAACTAAGGGAGATTTTCCAAATGGGGGACAGGTTTGCCTTGTGGGATCATGAAAGACAAAATTTCTTTAAAATATCAAGAAAATAATTAGTAACAATACAAAGGCTAGAAGATGACAAAAGGATCTATAACTTGAGAATAAAGAATGTGAATGAAGAAGCAGGGGTACAAACAAAGGAACTACAAAGGCTATTCACAGAAGTAATTAAGGAAAACTTCCCAAGCATTGGAAAAGGAAGTATTCAGATGTATGAGGGATACAGAGATCTAGCCCCCTACAACCAACACAAAGCTACACCCAGGCATATAATAAGATTCCAGAAATCCAATATAAGAAGAGAATAAAACTGCTAGAGAAATGAAACGTTAAGGGAAAGCCCGTAGAAATCATTGCAGACTTCTCAACACAGCATCAAACCAAGAAGAGCTTGGAGCAAAGTATTTCAAGCCCTGAGAGAAAATAACCTTCAGCCCAGACTGATGTACCCTGCAAAATTGTCTCTAGTAATTAATGAAGAAACAAAATGCATCCAAGACAAAGAGAAACTGGGGGAAATTCACAACCACCAATCCAACTCTACAGAGAATACTGCAGGACATCCTAAAGACAAAGAAAAGTACCAGAATTCCAGGAACAGTGGCCTCAATTCCAGGAGAGGCCTCAATGAATGCAGCAGAAAGTGAAGTGAAGAAGACAAACAGGCAACTAATGATAGAAAAAGAGCACTACAGAAATGAGGCAGAGAAGGTTGGCTATAATCTAATGTAGATAGCCTTGATACACTAAATTTAAAAAAAGACTATCACAGACAGCGTAGATCAGGAGGTAGGGTCCACCAAGATGCTGTTAATAGGAAATATATTTAACCTATAAAGGGTATATGGATAGAAAATCAAATATGAGTAAACAGTGCTCTATGACCGGGAACCAGAGAGTAATAGGGGCAATTAGACCAGTATTTGTGGTTAGGTTGAAAAAAAGGCTTTAATAAGTAAAGCAATACAACCAGAGATCAAGTTCAGGAGGGAGAAGGTTCAGAACCACTTAGATAAATAGCAGGTTACACCTCCAATTTAAAACCAAGGGTCTAGGTGAGACCCAAAAATGCACAATACACCCTGAGGAAGTGAAAGCTGAGGAATAGTCTTTAAAAAGATGGTAATAGTGTATCAGGCATTATGCCCATATTACTCGCATGGCTCTGCTTAGATAGAACTTATTAGGTCCCAGTTTGTCTACAAGTAGTAGATCTGATGGCACAGGCAGCTTTCCCAGAAATATCAGGCTAAGCACAGTAATCATCTTGAACTTCCTATCATGACTGATCTTAGTTAAATCTGGTTTGTTGGATTGCTGTTTGGTATTGACAGATTTTATTGAAAACTGCTATGATTGGTAGTATCAAGTCAGAGTATAGACAACTACACTGAAAATGATAAGATTCACTATGATACCCATTTTGGTTGGACTACTACCTGTTTTCGTAGTTTTACATTATCTAAAAAGTTGTGTTCCTATTAATACTGTTATGTACTGATATATTTGATTATATTATACCTGATGATATAGCCAATTCTATTGAAGATAACAAGAGACAACTCAGTAATCATGTTAGAACTCTTACAGCAGTTTTATGTCTTTCATTTTATGTGTCTATAGGAATATGTTTTGTTCTGCCCTGCTTTCTTTTGTTTCTCTAATACAGAAAGGATAGAAATACATGTTAAGTCTCATGTATGCATAGAACCTATAAACAGTTTACAAGAACTGATCTTATGACACATGATGAAATGAGCAAATACATTGAAGAAAAAGAGACAGTACAGTACCCAGTGATGACCCTAGAGTGTCATGATGTGTGAAATCCAGCAGTACTAGTATTCTTTGTTCAGAGTGATTTTAGCTGGCTTTAGTTTGTTTAATCTCAACATAAATGAAGATATAGATAACTTTATGTATGTTTAAATGTATAGGATTGACAACCATGTGTTACTAAGTTTATATTGGGTAGGTGAACAGAAACTATTTGCAGTCCCACTGTTTGAATTCCCACTTATATGCTCCACTTTTTTTTATCTTGAACAATTACTTGTAAGATTACAATATGTAAACATCAACTAGTGATTTATTACTGCGTATTTATGCTTTGAACGTATCTATTATTTCTACCTATTTTCTCTTTTAGTTAGTCTTTCTTTAAATAAAATTATTTTTTTTTAATTTTTTTTAAAAAGTGAAAGGGGAGCAATTGTCTAAAAAGGGAAGGCAGTGACCATTGTTTTATTATTAAATCATTTTATTATGATTTCAAACCCATATTGTTTTCATTGTTTTGTTTAGTTTGGTTTTATTCTGTCCCAATCTGTCTTCTTGAATTAGATTTGATGGTATGGAAGCTATTCCAAAGATAGCAGGATATATTATAGTAGCCATTTTTTATTTCCTATTAACTTGATGTGGAAGGCCTGTATTGCTTTCACTGTCTTGTTTTGACTGATTTTACTCTATTCTGTTTTGTTTGCTAGTATCAAGTCTGAGGATATAGGCAACTACTTTGAAGACAATAAGGTTCACTATGTTATCCATTCTGCTTTAGCTATTAACTTCTATTGAAGTCCTGTAATGTCTCCAGTGTTTCATCTTTATTGGTTTTGTTCTGTACTGTTTTGTTCCATTTCATGATACCTGATGATATGGGCAATTCTTTTGAAGATAGCAAGAGGCATTATGCTAACAACCATTATTGATCACATTGTATTTTGTTTTCACATCATGTACTATGTCCATCCTTTTGTTTTGACTGACCCTGTTTTGTTTTGTCACACTTGGTTTTATTCTCTTAAAATAAGTAATAACTGAGGGAGTAATAAAACCCAAAATGTGTAATTGTTATTATAAAAAAGAGAGGAAAAGAAAGTGCTCTAAAGCATATAACTGCATGTATGTTTAAGTGTGTAAGATAGGTAACCATATAAGTTTTTGTTGGATTGTTGAAAAGAACTGTTTGCAATTTCACTATTTGCGCATCCACTTTGCATGTTTTAATTTTGTAACTTGAACAAATATTTTTAAGATGACAATATGTAGTCCATCAACTAGTGATTTTTTGCTGTTTATTGTTTTGAAATTCTGTATATTTCTATCCTTTTTTAAAAATTTTTTCTCTTTAAGGAGAAAAAAAACAAAGATATGGAAAACATCACACTGCAGAGTAAACATGTGTGTATTCAATGTGGTTAAGCTTTCAGCAGAAACAGTCATTATCAAAGATATGAAAGGACTCACACTGGAGGAAAACTATACCTGTGAGCTATTTGGAAAAGCTTTTGGCACACTTAATTATTGTCAAATACATTAAATAAACTACAACATAAAAACCTAAGGAATGCAAGCAATGCAGAATTGGATTTATTCTTCACTATATAGACATTAAGAAAGTCCTTCGGGAGAAGCTCTATGTCTTAAGCAATATGGAAGAGATTTCAGTATACACATGTTGTCAAATACGTGATTATATGTATTTTATGTCAAATCTAGAAGATTCACTTGGAAGAAAGAGTGTATGTAAGCTTATTTTGAAAACCCTGTGAAGATGTTTCATGTAGTGAAGTTTACAGTGTTTTATGTCAATGTTTCTTCAAAAATGTACCAGAGAAAAAGATTCCAGATGAAGGTATCAGAAACTGTACATTCTGTGGATTTTTGTTAAGTGACTTATGTACATTATTTATGTGCAATGCTTAACATAAAAATCTGAGTTGATAAAATGACATGTTTTTATGTGAGGTCTGAGCATTGTCCATCGTGTCTTAATTAAGCATGGTTGACTGAGATTTCTTTTTCACTTTCAAGTACAGTTAGTGTTTGTGCTGCTTTTCTTTTATCTTAAATTTCAAGAGGCATACATCACTAATAATCTTATCTTGTCATTTTGTGCTATTAGAATTTTGCATTATTTTTCTTTTTGTGTGTGTTTTCTAATTCTGTATAACAAAAGGTATGTTTAATTTGATGCTATACTTCATATTGATACATATTTTCAAGGACATGTGAACATGAATTTTATACAGAGTTGAATTGTTTTCACACAACTTGGGGATTAGTGAATTTTGGCTTTCATATGAAACGATCAATACTCGCTTGTATACCAACAGCTCTGTACATTGTGTCATGTACATATGTTGCAAATCTTTTTGGAATACTGTCGTTTCTATAACATTTTTTTTTTTTTGGTCTTTTTCCTTTTTATCAGTTCTGGGGATCGAACTCACGACTGCCTGCTTGCAAGGCAGGCGCTTATGCCACTGAGCTAAATCCCCAGCCCCAACATGTTATTTTTTGACATAAAAGTTTTCATGTTTACATTGCAATGTTGTAATTTGCTTCACTGCCATTTTTGAACTACATATACCAAACATAAACTATACTGCTCTGTTTTTCTCATTGCCAGAATCCCACTGCTGTAGAATTCAAAGAGAGAGATCCAATTGGAAAAAGAAGTAATTTTTGGGTTTTAGATGCACACCAGCTCAGCTTGATCTTATGATGTCCAAAATGACTGAGTACCAGAACAAAGGAAAGGCACAGTTTTACACATTTGGTTGAATGTGATGGGAGCAATCAATGGCATGGAAAGAAGACAGCTATTTATGACAACCTTGAAAGAAGACAGAACTTTATGAATCCTTTAAGAAAAAGATGACATAATCTCTGAACAGTACATAGCTTGCCTCTGTCAGAAAAACAATTTATAGCTACAGGGGATGACAACCAACTTTGAGGGAGATTTCTCTCTAAGTCCCTCTTCACCACATGACCATAACTAGTCTCCTAAAGGAAGTCATGATTTACAGTAATATCTCAAAAATATTCATAGAATAAAAATTAAATGATGGAAAACATTCCGTGGTTAGTGTCTTGATTTCCTCTCAAAGCCTCAGTCAGTCATAGATGGGGCCTGATCTAATAATATAAGTGTTAATTATTTTGCTTCAAGTACTAACATAATTAGTACTATAATTATCTTAAGTGTATATTTTCAAATTTATATATTTTTTCATTTTCTTTTTTTCCTTTTTCCTATTTGTTTCCTTTTTGACAGTTTCTTATACTTTCAATGTATTATTTGAAGATTTTGGATCTTGTTCACTCTTTCAGTTTCTCTCACAAGGGCACAGTACAGTATTTATGCATGTAAATTTGATTTATTTCACTTATGAGAGTGATCTAAAGTCACCCAATGACATATAAAAGCATCAGTGTTTTCCTTCTTTATAGGTGAGCAGTACTCCATTGTAAAAATTATGACATCATTTTCATCCTTTCCTCCATTGATGGATTTTTGGGTTGTTTCCAAGATCTAGCTATCACAAATTGTGCGACTATAAACATGGGTGTACATATATCACTGTGGTATGAGGTTTTCAATTGTTCTGGGAATATGCACAGAAGTAGAATAGATAGGTCAAATCGGATTTCATTCCTACCTTTTTGAGGAACCCCCACACTGATTTCCTCAGTGGTTGCACCATCTTACACTCCCACCAATGGTGCAGAGGTGCTCCTTTTTTCTGACAGCCTTCCCAGTATTTGTTTTCATTGTTTTCTTGATCCTGGCCATCCTTTCTGGAGTAAGATGGAATCTCAGTGTTGTTTTAATTTGTATTTCTCAAATGGCCAATGATGTTGAACATTTTTCTATGTATTTATTTGTTTTTGTTTCCAGCCACGGAATGTATATTCATGTCACATGCCAAGTTTTAGATTGAAAACTTGAGAAATAGGGGCCTGATGATTTTTTTTTAATTATTCATATGCTTTAGATAGAAGTCTTTTGAGAGTTGACCATGATATTTTCCCAATTTGTGGGTTTTGTTTTCACTCAGTTGAGGTTTCTTTTGACATGCAAAACATTTTTCATATGATGAGAGCACAGTTGCTGATTCTAGGAATTTTTTCCTGTGTAGTTTGATATTGCACATGAATTCTCTGCCTACCCCTATGTTTTCATGTTTCTAACTAATTTGTCCTCCAGCAGATTGAAATTCTCTGCATAAATATTTAGGTATCTGATCCATTTTGACTTGAGTGCATGGTGATAGGCATGGGTCTAGGTTTCAAGTGTGGCATACGGAAAGCCAGTTTTTCCAGCACCACGTATTGAATCTTTTTCAAATGAAAGTGATTGGAACATTTTTCAAATATAAGTGGGCTGAATGTGTTTGTGCTTGTTTCATCTAAGTATTCCATTGATATTTAACTGTATTTTTGTTCCAATACTGTGCTGAACTTATCACAGTGCCTTTGTAGTATATCTTCAAGTCAGGGATTGTCATTCCTCCTGCCTTGTGTTTGTTACCCAGAATGGCCTTTGCTATTGTAGGTCTCTTCTGGATCCAGATGAATTTTCGGAATGATTTCTTTAGGTCTGTGAGGTATGCTAATGGTATTCTGTTTGGAATTGCATTATATTTGTATAAAAATTTGGAAAGAATGGTGATTTTTCACAAGTTTTGTTGTTCTTCTCCATGAACAAGAAATGCCTTTTACATTTTCTGATGTCATGTTCTATTTCTTTTTTCAAAGTACTGTAATTTTTACTGTATAGATATTTTACTTCCTTTGTTAGACTGATTCCTATGTATTTCGTTTTTTGGATGATATTTTGAAGTGTATGTTTCAGTGGGTTTCTTCTTACAGGTATGCTATTGATTTTTGAGTGTTGAACTCATATCCAGGTATAATACTGAATTTATTTATTACATCTAGACACCATTCGGTGGAGATTTAGGGCTCTTTTTTGTACAGTATCATGACCACCTGCAAATAAAGATAACCTAGCCTCTTCCTTTAGTATCCTTATTCCCTTTGTTTCTCTCTCTTTTCTAATCATGCTGGCTAGTGTTTCCGGCACCATTGTGAATAGGAGCATTGATAATTGAGAGCTTTGTCTTTTTCCTGATTTCAGAGTGAAAGCTTTCTGTTTTTGACCATTTAATATGATGGTGGGTGTTGGTTTGTCACAGATGGCTTTTATCACATTGAGGTAAAGACTTTCTATTCTGATTGTCATACAGTTTTTATGGTGAATGAGTGTTGGGCTTTATCAAAAGCATTTTTTGCATCTATTGAGATGATCCTGTCTCCTTTATCTTTGGCTCTATTGATAAGGTATATTATGTTTATTGAATTATGTATATTGAATCATCACTGCATTCCCAGGAAGAATATGACTTTGTTGTGTGATAACTTGTTGCATTCTGTTTGACAGTATTTTATTGAGGATTTTATATCTATGTTCATTAGTGCAAATGACCTGTAGTTCTCTTTTCTGACTGAGTCTTTCTTGGGTTTTGGTATCAGGGTAATACTTGCTTCCTGGAATGAGTTAGGGAGAATTACTTCCCTTTCCATTTCATGGAAGAGTTTTAAGAGTGTTGGTATGAATTTTTGTAGACTTCAGCTGTGAATCCTTCACGATCTTGCCTTTTCTTTGTTAGTAAGGTTTTAATTATATTATCAATTTCATTAACTGAAATTGGCCTATTTAGCAGTTTTGCATCTTCTTGATACAGATTTGATAACTCACATGTTCCTAGGCATCTGTCCATGTCTTCTGCATTACCAATGCTGTGAGTAAATCGTTTTGAAATAGGTAATGATGATCTGCATTTCCACAACCTGTGTAGTGGTTTCAACCTTTTCATCCCTTGTTGCATAAACACGAGGTTTTTCTTTCCTTTTTCTTAAAAGTTTGTCTAGGTGTTTATAAATTTCATTTATTCTTTCAAAGAACCAACACTTTGATTCATTCATTCTTATACTGTTTTATTAGTCTTAATTGTATTAACTTCTGCTTTGATCTTTAGAGTTTCCTCCCTTCTACTGACTTTAAGCTTCACTTGCTCTTCTTTTTCTAGATGTTTGAGATGTAGCATCAGTTTATTTATTTGTGTTTGTTCTGTTTTCCTGAGGTGAGAGTTCACTACAATAAATAGCCCTCTGTGGATTGTTTTCATTGCACCCCACAGGTTCAGTTATGTTCTATTCGTATTTTAATTTGCTTGTCGATGTTGCTTAATGTCTCCTTTAATTTTGTCTGTTACCCACTGAATACTCAGTAGTGTATTATTCAATTTCCATGTGTTGATGGAGTGTTTGCAGTTTCTTTTGTCATTAATTTCCAGTTTTATGACACTATGACCATTTAATATGCATAGGATAATTATAATTCTTAACCATTTTCTTAAGTGTACTACATGAGCTAATACATGATCTATTTTACAGAATGTCCTGTAAGAAGTTGAAAAGTATGTATACCTTGATGTTGTTGGGTGGAACACACTGTACACATTTTCTAAGTCCATTTTTCACCGTTTGGTATAGTTCCATTGTTTATTTGCTGATTTTTGTCCAGTTGATCTGTCTCTTTGTGTCAGTGGGGTCATAAGTTCTCGTTATCATTGAGTTATGTTTATTTAATTTTGATTTTCTATTAATATATGTTTCATATAGCTGGGTGCTCCCACCTTTGGTGCATATATAATTCAGTTGGTTATCTCTTCCTCTTGAAATGTCCCCCTAACCACTTTCTCCCTTGTGTATCTTTTTGATCATCCTTGGTGTGAAGTTCATATTGTGTGAAAACAGATTAGCTCCCTCTGATTTTTTGGAGTTTCTGATGCAAAAGGCATTGTTTTCTATCTTTTGACTTTCAGTCTATGAATTTCCTTTTGCATTAGATGGATTTCTTGTATTTAGCATAGAGGTGGATGTTTTTTCTTGATCCAGTCTGCCCTTTGTTTCTTTTAATTATTGAATTGAGTCCATTTATGTTAATGGGCAATAGTGATATTGGTCTTATTTTTGTTATGTTAAGTTTCTGCTTTGTTTCTTTAACTTTCTCCTCTGTTTATTTCATTACCTGATTATGTTTTTTCTGTTTGTGTTCTTGAATTAATAGTTCCTTTTATGTCTATCAAGAACATCTTTCATTATTCTTTGCAGAGTTGGTTTTGTTTGCACAACGTCTTTCTACTGTTCTCTGTGATGGAACTCTCTTACTTCTGCATTGGGTGGCTTTGCAGGTCATGTCAATCTCAGTTTGAGTTCTTTTTCACACTGGATGGACATTCTGCATGCCCCACAAAGCACGCTGAGTTTCACTGGCTGATTGGGGTCAGTTGGTTGGTCTCTATCAAGCCCAGAGGGGCCACCAAGGCTACATTGCTAAGTACAGTATGCTGTATAGACCTTCAACTCATGCCACATGTCATACCACTGCTCTTTGGCTGCTTTGGGTCACTTGGTGGAACCCTAGAATGTCATGAGATGTAAACCAGGGCTGTACAGATAAGTCAAATATGCCTAACAAGCCTTCAGCTCACCTCAGTAGTATTTCTCAGCTGTTTGAGGATGATGGATGGTGTCTTACCAGGTCCGGAGTAGTGCACCAGTGCTACATAGCTAGGTTGAGTATATTATGCAGGGCTTGCCTTCATCACAGGTGGTACAATAAAGCTGTTAAGCTGCTTGTATTCACTGGGCAGGGCCCTACCAGAGCCTGAGTCCACTCCACTCTCTCATGCTTTAATGAAAATTTACACAGAGATTACAGACACCTGACAACCATTCTTGAGCCTCTTATTTGCTTTCCCTCCTCAAAATCTCTTCTTCAAAGTATCAGGCCTTAATGTTTTCTCTGCCATGTGAGCACACTTCAGGATTTTCTGAGGCCACTCCCTTTCCTACACCAATTTCCTAATACAGCCCTGTTTCCTCAAAATTTTTCTCCCAAAGAGGGTGCCCATATTTTCCATTTGTCAGTTTCATATTAGCCAAAGAAACTGTCTAGTTTTCTCTCTGTATATAACAACCAAACAATAAAATATCAAGTCTAATT